ATTGCAATGAAATAAAGAATGATTTTAAACCAGTCTAAATTAAGTGCCACCTATCTATAAAGCCACACTGGGCTCAGAATTTCAACACAGAAATTTGAGGTCAACACAAACATTTATTCTATAAGATGGTTCCAGGAAGAATGATGCTAATGGGCTAAGCTAATTCCAGCTGAACTTGGGAATGGATGTTGGGCTTCTCCTGGAGCAAATTCAAAGACAGCCACAAATTCTTTCCCTCCCTAAGTTCACTCCCCCTTTCCTTGTAACTTTACCCTCTTTCCACACTAACTTGCTTTGGCAATGACACAGTTGCCAATGTGGCACCAGTTCGGACTTGAGAAGTGCTTTTTCATTGAAGCTTACTGTCCATTTCTGCTCTGGCATCCTCACCACAGTTTCCATGTGAAGAAACCTACCCCAGCTTGTGGAATGATGAGAGATGTATTTGTACAGCTTGCTCTCTCCCATTGCAATGGCCAATAGCTTGTCAACAACCAGATGTGTGAGAGAAGTCATCCTAGCAGATGATCTAATCAGTTGACCCCAGACACATGTGTAAGCCCAGCAGAGATCAGCTAAAGTAGATCAGACCAGGAGAAGAACAGAATCTTCACAAATTTTGAGATTTTTAAAAACAGATTTATTTTTATTGCAAAGTCAGATATATACAGAGAGGAGGAGAGACAGAGGATGAGATGTTCCATCCTATGAGTCACTCCCCAAGTGGCCACAATGGCAGGAGCTGTGCCGATCCAAAGCCAGGAATCTGGAGCTCTTCTGGGTCTCCCACGTGGGTGCAGGGTCCCAAGTCTCTTCTGCTCTCCCAGGTCACAAGCAGGGAGCTGGATGGGAAGTAGGGTATCTGGGAATAGAACCAGCACCCATATGGGATCCCAGTGCATTCAAAGCAAGGACCTTAGCCATTAGGCTACCAGGCCAGGCCCAAATTTTGAGTTTTTAATGTAACAGTAGTTATAGTCCTTATCTTTTATAGGACAGAAGAACCTGAAAGTACTTAGAGAAATATGAATTAACATATTAAGGCCTAGTGCAATTAATTCAACGACAAAGTTGTCCACTTTGTTCTGCCCTCCATCCTTTGCATTGGTACTAGATATGCCCTGCAGACCTCAGTGAGCTATCATGTTCCCTGTGTGCATCTAGGCACGCTGTCCACTGTACTGGCTTCAGCAACTGAGGAGACCCAATTCTGACACATGTATTTCACGATCAGACCACAGATCCTGTGGTTTTTCTTGTGGTTGGAGGTTTGAGTCCAGTGGTCCAGTTGAGGGAGTCCCCAAAGGAATCTTGCCTGAGGTGACCCCAGACCTGACTCTGCGTGTGCCAGCCAGTGCAGGGTCTGGCTCAGTCCATCACCTGCATCATGTATACACACATACTGGTGGCTGTAGTCACCTGGTCAATTCTGTCTCCAGCCCCATCTCATATGCAAACCAGCAGATGCTGTAGCCCAGTCTAACTCTGCCTACCACACACTTGGCCCTCACACACACTACTGGGAATTTCAGCTAGTTTGTAATACCCTTGATAACCTTTACCAGGCCTGCTCCCAGCCATGGTTCCAATATTTGCTGGGTTGTGCAGCAGACTGGTCCAGTCTGTCCCACCCACACCCCATTCAGCTCTCATATAGATCCATGGGTATTGAAGCCTTGCTCAGCCCAACCGACTCCTCTTTCCAGTCCACCCTTATACCACTGGGTGCTACCGCGTGTCCAGCCAGACCTGTCCCCAACTCTGGTTTTCATGTTCACTGGTGGGAACTGTAACCCACGAGGGGTTTGAAATCTTTCTTTCTCTCTGTCTCCCCTCAAATGCAGTCATAGGTCCTATTGTTTCTAACTTCTGGGTTTCCCTAAAATCCACCCTCTTTCTTGCATTCTCATTATCACTCCATGAGAACTAGTCAGCATCACTTTTCACCCAGCTAATTATAATATTCTGCCCATTTGCATTGGATTTGCGAGTGAAAATGTGAAGTATGTGAGAGAGGATTCAAGGATCATCCAGAGGATTTGGCCTGAGCAACTGAAGAAACTGGCTTGTGTTCAAGAACACATGGGTAAAAGTGAATTCGGGCTAGATTGTGTCACATGGCCGTCTGTGGTTGGAATATTCACTCTGGAAAAGTAATATCTGGTATTATTAGATTTCTATTTTCATGTGCTACAAATACATTAATTACTGCCAACTTAATTACTTGTCTCCCAGTTCCTGTGGGCCAAGAGCTTAGGTATTGCTTAGCTGAGGGTCTCACGAGGCTCCCATCCAATTATCAGCTGGCCTGTGTTTCAACCTGGAGGCTCAAGTGGTGTGCAACATGTGTCCAAGCTTCCTTGCATTGTGGGCCGGATTCATTTCCTTGTGATTACAGGACTGAATGTTTCAGGACTTATTTTGCTCCTCTGCCAGCTGTACAGCCAGAGGCCTCTGTTTTAAGGATTGCCTACAATTTCTTGTTACATGGCCTTTTCCATAGGCAATTTAGAACCCAACTGTGCCATTAGCTTTCATAAGGCCATTTAGGAGGCTGAGAGTCTTCTAGCAAGACATAGTCTAGCTTAATGTAACCTAATTATAGTAGAGATATTGTGTTACCTTATTACATATAATTTGAGATTCAGAGGGTGAGAAAAAAAAGAGAGAGAAAGAGAGAGAAATACCCGTCCCAATGGCTTAATTTCCACATGTCCAGTGGCCAGGGCTGGGTTCAAGCTGAAGGTGGGACCAGGAAATTCAATTCTGGGTCTTCCACATGGGTAGCAGAGACCCCCATTGATTGAGCTATCACTGTTGTCTCCTAGGATCTGTATTGGCAGGAAGCTGGAGTCAGGGTGCCAAAAGCCAGGGTATGTAACATGGGCATTCCAATATAAGACACAGGTTTGCTAATCCAGCATCTAAACTGCAAGGTCAAACACTCACCCCACCTCTCCTGTGTTTGATTCGTCAGAAACAAGTCCCAGATCCTACCCACACAGGAGATTCCCCAGAGGTACAGATTACCAGAAAGGGGTGGATTTCCATGTTAGCCACACCGACTTTCTCATTCCTAGTTCTGAAAGATGAGAAGGTAAAATGGAGCTCTGTTTCTTAAGAACCTTCTCTGTCTATGACTCTGAAATGATCATGCAACTGTGATGTCAGATGTCCTTTGCGGGGCTTGTTGCAGCATGTGGTCCTGAGGTGGTCCTTGAAGCATGATCCGTGAAGGCTTTTGGTTCCCTGCCAGTTTCGTAAGATCGTTTGCTCCAATCTTCTTTCAGTTCTGTGATCTTTGTAGTTTTTCGATAAATTCCCCATAGGTTGAGGATTATCTAAGTTATGTTCCTATTTTTGTAGCTATACATGGTAGGTCCCATATATGTAACAGGCATAACTACAATGGGCACAGCATGGACTAGATTCTGCATGGCCTTAAAGAGTTGAGTTTCATCTTGAGAATCATTTCACTGTTTCAAATGGGTGATTAGTAGGTTACATGAAGATTGTTGTGATGGCTTTTTGGAGGACAAATTTAAAGAGAATAAGGTTGGATGCACATTAGAACACATTAGAAGATTCTGCGAGGCAAGTAGGTGAGGCAAGATGAGACATAAGTTGATGTGGTGTCGAGGGGACAGAAAGAGGAGGTGATGGGAAAGAGAGAGTGAAGGGGCTGAAGCAGCGGGAATTGTGCATTCACTGGGTGTGTGGAAGGAAGAGAGAAGGACGCGGTGTCCAGGATGATATTCAGCATTGCTGAAAGGAGCTGGGCCAGGGGGCACAGATGCAGTCTGGTGCCAGGCTGTGGAGCACACTGGTTTTGTGTGTGGGCTCTGGTATCTGACAGACAAGGGTTTGAGTCCTCGCTCTGGCTCTGCACCTGTTAGCTGAGCATGCCATGTCATCTGTAAAATGGAAACAAAAATGCATCTCTCTTTTGTGTCTATGAGTTGGGTGCCCAGTGTTGGAAATCCAGTCAACACTCTAGGATATTTGCTGCTATTACGGAGAAGGCCAGGGTGAAGGATTGGAACCCTCAGAGAGGCTTCTGGAAATAAATTGCGGTGAGGCCCAAAGAGGACAAGTAGAACCCTGTGGCTGACCAGCATAGCCAGAAGGCCAGGCAGGGCTGAGCTACTTTGGCCACGTGTTGCTGAGGAGATGAGTCATGCTGCCCAGGCCACAGGAGGCTGGACTGGGCTACAACGGATGACCTCATCGTCAGTGGTGGGTCCTGGGGTCATTCCGGAAACCTTTTTTGGTCCTCTTCTCCCTTCCAGAGAAAACATTACTTCTTCCTCTTTATAGAACTTGGCACCGTTTGGAGGGCGCAGGCAAGGGTGGAAAGGGACATGAGAGCGAGAATCTGAACCCTGTGCAGCTTGCTCAGGTTTTTGCTGGGTAATCTGGCACACTTCACTTCAGCCCATTCTCCTAGGGGACCCCGGGGAAGGAGTGGACTGGACTCCCAAGCAGGATGTGAGAGTTAGCCGAGGGTTGGAAGGCACTCCATAAACCACATGTGTTGACATCGTATCTCCTTTTGTATACTTGGCGTCCTTGCAGTTCCTGGCCCCTCTCTCCCGCCCTAGTTTTTGAGGACACCGAATGGTTTCCAACTCGGTTTATTTTTTCTGGATCCTCAGGATTCAGCTTGGCACGGCCCACAGCGTCATGAATGGGATGAATGGAGGAGTCAATGAGTGTCCTCTGCCGCAGCCGCGCGCCGGGAGCCCCGCCCCCTTCCGCTGTCCCGGGCGCGCGGCGGCGCGGGCCGCGGGCGGGTCTTTGGTGAGCGTTCGCCGGCGCGTGCGCGGGAGGCGGCGCGCGGCCGGAGGTGGCGGGCGGGCTCCGCGTGCGCGCGCGAGGGGCGGGGCCGGCCGGTGCTGGCGGGCGGGCGGGTGGCAGTGCGGCCGGCGGCGGGTAGCCGGCCGAACGTGTGCCGGGTGGGAGAAGGCGGCGGCGGCGGCGGCGATGCCGCTTCCTTCTCCGTGAGGAGCGCCGGGGAGGTCACGGCGGCTGAGTGCCCACAGAAAGCGCAGAGGCGCAGCGGGTTGGGGTCAGTGGCTTCGGGCGCCCGTCGGGCCATGGTGGCCGCGGGCGGTGGTTGGCGCGGCAGCGCTGCGGCCCGGGACTGTGTGAGGCCGGGACAGTCGTGGCGCTGACGCCCGCAGGGCCCAGCCGCAGATATGAAGCGGAGTCGCTGCCGCGACCGGCCGCAGCCGCCGCCACTGCCCGCCCGCCGGGAGGATGGGGCTCAGCGGGCGGTGGAGCTGCCTCAGCCCCAGCCCCTGTCCCCGCGCCGGCGAGCGCCGCCCGGGAGGCAGCGGCTGGAGGAGCGCACCGGGCCCCGGGGACCCGACGGCAAGGAGCAGGTAGGGGCGGGCCGGGGTCCTGAAGCAAAAGGATGGGGAGGTGGGAGCAGAATGGGAGCGGTGGGGGAGGGGGCGTCGGGCCGGAGCGTCGGAGGGGTGGGGACCGTGAGGAGGGGTGGGAGGTCTGGAGAGGCAGAAAGAAAAAGGGGAGGGGGACGCAGTGGAGAAATGGAAATGGTGGCCTGGGGTGGAGAAGGGGGGCGGCGGGGCAGAGTAGGAGATTGAAAACAGTGTTCTGATGGGGAGAAGGAATCCTGGGGCTATGGGTAGGGTCCATCAACTGCAGAGAGTAAACCTGCCCTTGGGGATATTGAGTTATCCAGATGGGGAGAGTCTGATAGAGTGTGATCCTCACAATTATAAAGATTGATGTCACATTCCCAAGTATTCTGATCGGGGCCCTCATACTTTGCGGCGAGTATGTTGAGAATCATTGTCAGGCTTCCCAGTAACCGTTCACTGCAAGAGAAAGAAGCATTCTTAAAAAGCACCTGCATGCGTGCCATGCTAAGCCCAAACACTGTATGTGTTTAAAGGTCCAAGCTCTGCTTTTTAGTTTACCACTAAAAAACTCTAATGGGAAAACACAGAATGTAATGTAAAACACACACACATACACACAAATGAAGGAGATTTCTAAATGGACAGGATATGTTGATGCAATTTATTAGTCAAGGGTAGGTGGATTTATGAGGAGAGGATAAAGGTCGGTTTTGTAAGGAGAAGTTGCTTCTGGTAGCTGAAGAAAATTCTGAGAAAAGAGCATGTTCTTGGGATTGTTGGGATTGTGTGGTAAGGAACTCTAGTGACAGCTTCGCTTTAGCACTGCTGTGTCCATACCCTAGTCATTTCACCCTTGGATCTTTCAGGACTTCTTGCAGATCTGCCTATCCCCCCTCAGTTCAATAAGTATCTTCCTCTTCCTTAGACATTATTCTTTATGATACAGTTTTAATGATGCACAAGCTGCCCATTGGATTTTGTTCTGTTTTGTTTTTTGGTTTTTTTTATTCTTCACTGGGCCGGGAGTAGACCGCATTGTTGACCAGTGTTGCCATTGCTTCGAGCTGCTGATCATTGTCCTCTTGCTCTCTGGCTGTGATTCCCAGCCCCATCCTTGCCCTTTACATTCGGTGCATGCTTTTTCAAAGCTTTCCAAATGCGGTTCAAGTCCCGGTTCTTTCATTTTACCTGGTTCGCTTGACCTTACTGCGTGCTTCACTGAATGGTTCAAGGTTATTTGCTTTTCTCTCCTTTCTGTCTCAGAATCTCTGTGTTCACTTATCCTTAGTTTCTCAGAGTCCTTCTCCTTTCAGGCGAACTGCTCTGTATATCCTTGATTCCATCCCCTTTTGTCTGTTATAGGCAGTTTTTGTGTATTATTCTCTTTGTGTTACAAACCCAAAGTTTTTTGCTTCATCAGCAACCATCTTGAAAATATGAGTTTGTACTTACTTAATATCCTCACCTGGTTTGTATTCCTAAGACTATAATTGACTTCTATATTTATGGCTTTTGAAAATTTGATGCCTTCACAGTGACTTAATATTTTTTTATACTTAGGTGTGAAATGTAGTACACACATCAAAGGTCTGTTTAGCTGATGCATCTTTAAAATTAATTAAACTATTTGAAACTAGAGTTGCAGACAAAGAGGTGGGGGGTAGAGATAATCCATCTGCTGGTTTACTCACCAAATAGACATAATGACCAGGCTGGGTCAGGCCACATCCAGGAGCCTGGAACCTCATCTTGTATGTGGGTGGCAGAGTCCGAAAGCATCTTGTGTTGCTTTCCCAGGTGTAATAGCAGAGTTGGATTGGAAGTGGAGCCACTGCAACATGAACTGGCACCTGTATGGGTTGCCAACATCCATTGTGCTACAACACTGGCCCGAGCTCATGCATTTAAAAATTTTTATTATTTTTTTTGAATTTTATTTTTGCTGATGTTTACATAGTTGATTAGGGTGGGAAGAGTCCAGAATCAGGGAAAATGGGTGAGATCTTTGTTTCCACATTTTCTTTTCCTTCTCACATCTGGAGGAAAGGGAGAGAGAGACAAGGGGAGAAGCCACACCAAGCCTCCCAACTGCCTCAGCACTCATGGGTGGGGAATGGTCACCCGATAACATCCCAAAGTCCCTGATAGTTACTGATGTGGAGCGTGCCTCAAGGGTTTTGCCCAAGTGGTTTCAGTAGTTCCGAAATGCTGTTGATCTTGTAGATGCAAGGATGAGGATATCTTTCCAAGGTCCTTTGGTTGACACAGTCCACCTCTGAGTCTCCATTTGTTCAGCTATTTGCTGTCATGCTTCCCTGGAGTAGTTGATCAGCTTGTTCTGCCCTCTTTCCTCTGCTATGGTACCAGATGTCTTCTCTAGGCTCCAGTTTTCTGACATATCCTCTATGTGACTCTGGGTATGCCGTCCACTGCTCTGTGAAAGCCACTAAGGAGGTCTAGTTTTGACAGATGCACTCCATTGTCAGAGCACAGGTCCTGTCAGTCTCCCTATTGTTAGAGTGGAGTCCAGTGGTTTAGTCGGGAGGATCCTCAAAGCAATCTCGTCCAAGGTGATCTCAGACCTATCTCTTGTTTGTGCATTCACCTGTACAGGGTCTAGTTGGTTATTTCACCCGCATCAGCCTACGTCCACATTGGTAATTGCAATTGCTAGGTCAGATCTAGCTCCAGCCCCATTTCTTATGCAAACCAGTGGGTGCTGGGGCCCAGCCCAACCCTGCCCTCCACACAGTAGGCCCTCATGTACACCTTTGGGAGCTGCAGTCCAGTCAGAGTGACTCCCAATGATTCCCACTGAGCTGGCCCCCAGCCTTGGTTTCTGTGTCTGCCAGCATGTGCAGTGATCTAGTCTGGTCTGTCCCACCTCTTATTCAGTTCTTGTACACATAATTGGGCATTGGGGCTTCACTTATCCTAGCCAACTCCATCTTCAGCCCACACACATGCCAGCGGGTGCACTGCCTGTCTAGCTAGGCCCGCCTCCAGTCTTGGTTCTCATGATTGTCAGTGGGAGTTGTAGCCTATCAGAGGGATGCCCACAGTTTCCCTAGGGGATCCACTCCCAGACCTGGATCTTGCACTCCTCTTTGGGTGGTTCTGCAGTCTAGCTCGACAGAACCTACTTGTTCCCTTTCCTAGCACCTGCCAGCTGATGCTGTGACAAAGCCCAACCAGCCTGCCCTCATTCTGGCTTATGCCTGTACCAGTGTATACAATCAATTAGCCCAGCCTAGCTCTCCACCAACCCAGTTCACGTTCAGGCCAGCATGTATTGTAGCACTGCCCATCCTGGTCTTCCCCCAGTCTCAGCTCTAGTGCTCACCAGCAGGAATAGTGACCCAGCAGGAGAGTCCCTACAGCCCTCCTAAAAGGTTCACACCCCCCTCTTCCTCAGTCATGTTTTGTGTGTACTGGTGGGCGCCATAGCCCGGTCTGGCATGGCACATCTCACTTCTGCATTTGCCATTTGATGCTTGTAGCCTTGTCTGGCTGGGTCTGCTCCAAGGTCTAGCTTGTGCTGGTGGATGCTACCGCCCAAGCTGACCCAGCCAGCCCCCAGTCCTGGCCCTAATGTTTACTGGCTGGTGCTGTGGCCTAGCCCAGCATGTCCCACACCCTGGTTCTCAGTATTGTAAGTGGGTGTTATGAACTGGCTCAGCCTGGCCCACCCCCAGACCTGAGCCACATGTATGCTAGTGGGTACTGTAACCTGGCCTGGTCTGAGCCTTTCTTTGTTTTGATTCTTGAGGTCGCTTGCAGGGACAGCCCATGTATTTTTACTCAATCAATATACTTTTCTCAATGGTTTGTTTAATTTTATTTGAAAGGGAAGAGTTAGAGAGAAGGAGACAGAGAGAGAGAGAGATCTTCCATCCCCTTATTTACTCCCCAAATGGCCGCAATGACGAGAGAGACAGAGAGAGAGAGAGAGAGATTGTTTTCAATTACTGATTTACTCTCCAAGCATCCACCACAGCTGGAATTGGGTCTGTCTGAAGCCAGGAACTGCGAGCTTCTTCCAAGTCTCCCAAGTAGGCCATCTTCTGCTGTTTTCCTGGACACATTAGTAGGGAGCTGATTGGAAGTAGAGCAACTGACACTTGAACCAGTGTCACAGGGGGCACCTTTACCTACTGTGCTACAACACTGGCTCTGTCTCTGTTATTATTTCTCCGAAAGTATAACCCATATTATCATTGATTAATTTTTTAGAAAAGATCTATTGGAAGGAAGAGTTCTACAGAAAATCTTTCTGCTGCCTACCTCTCCAGTTGGCTGCAATAGCTTGGGCTGGGTCAGGCAGACACCAGGAGCTTCTTCTGGGTGTCCCACGTAGGTACAGGGACCTAGGTGTCCCACTTGGATCATCTTCTGCTGTTTTCCCAAGCACATTAGCAGGAAGCTGGATCAGATGTAGCTAGCACCCATATGGGAGGTAGGTGCTTCACCAGGTGGCTTTATTTGCTACACCATAATGCCAGGTCCCATAGATTAATGATTAATTCATATAATTAAATCATACGCTTTGTACACTGGGTCTCCCATGTGCATACAGAGGCCCAAGTGGACCATCTCCCTCTGCTTTTCCCAGGATATTAACAGAGAGCCAAATTGGATGTGGAGTAGCTGGGACTTTAACCAGCGTCCATATGGGATACCAGTGCTCTAGGCAGCCACTTTTCCTGCTCTGCCACAATCCTGGCTCCCTGTACTCTGCTCTTCAACATACCCGCTGTATTTGTTGCAGATACTTGGTTGGTGGAACAAGGTCTGTAGTCCTCATTCTTCATGACACTGTATAGCAGAACTTTATAGAGTGATTTGAATCTTTAGGCCGGATCTCTGCCCTTGGACTATATTTTCATTTTTGTGCATAACATTTTCAATGTAGACTCTCAACATTTGTTTCCTTAATCTTTATGACTTTTATAATTTGATAGTGACTTTCCAATTTATAAACAGTAATAGTTTACAAT